AGAAATTGTTATCGCAAGCTGGTAAGGAAGTCTTGTTGAAAAGTGTGGCTCAGGCAATGCCCACCTTTTCAATGAGTGTCTTTTTATTACCTATGGGGATTTGCACAGCTATTGAGCGAACAATGAACCGGTATTGGTGGGGATCTGGGAATGAACGAGGAATCCATTGGAAGGCATGGGACAAATTGTGTATACCAAAAAAGTATGGTGGCCTGGGTTTTAAAGAACTGCACGCATTTAATATAGCAATGCTGGGCAAACAGGCATGGCGCTTGTTAACAAAACCTGACTCTCTGGTCTCACGAGTTTACAGAGCGAGATATTACCCAAAAGGGACCTTTTATGATGCCAAGGTAGGAAATAACCCCAGTTTCTATTGGCGTAGTATAATGGCAGCTCAGAGCATGATTTGTAGCGGAACGAGGCGCAGAATTGGAAATGGAAAGACAACTCTCATCTGGGACCACCCATGGTTACAAGATGAACACGACCCAATGGTTCATACTGATAAGCCCCCATATTTAAATAATGCAGCAGTGTTGGGATTAATTGATCATGAGACACAAACATGGGATCCGGATATTTTGGCAGATATTTTTATTCCTACGGATGTGGCTAGGATAAAAAGGATTCCAGTATCACCGGACTATGAGGATATGTGGTATTGGCATGGTGATCAGTGAGGTAATTATACTGTTAAGAGTGGCTACAAAGCAGTTGTGGGAGATCTCAATGATAATACAGGTACGCATAATTGGTTACGCCTATGGAAATTAAAAGTTCCCCCCAAATGGAAGACATTCTTGTGGAAGGCTTTGAGTGGTATCCTCCCTACTACAACGAATTTGATTATAAAGAGAGTGGAAATCCAACCAACATGTGCTATGTGTGGAATAATGGATGAAGACACAATGCATGCTTTAGTAACATGTGGTTATGCAAGTTCCATTTGGGCTCAATCTCACCTTCCAATCCCCATGATAGCAACAAATATTTTTCATACTTGGTTTAGTGAGCTATTAAATATTTTAGACACTAACCAAATTGTTCACGCAGCTGCAATATTATATCATATTTGGAGAGCCAGGAACGGAGCGGTATGGGATGCGTGTCTACCGCGACCACGAAAAGTGTTAGCCTTGGCCGAAGCAACCGCACTTGCATGGCAAAGAGTCCACCACACCCACCCACAAACGGACCAAGGGGCTGCCGCACAAAGCAGTGCTACTGCCACTGCCGTGACACGGCAGCAGCAGCACTACAACACGGCAAATGCCGTGACTGCTATGGGGATCGCCCAATAGGGCGCACGGAACGAGCCTGCCGAGCCGAGATGGAGATGCTATGTCGATGCTGGATTCATGCCAGCTACAGGAAGGGCTACGGTTGGCGCGGTTTTGTTCGACGAGGAAGGGGGATATGTATCGGCATTCAGTGCACCCTTGTCAGATTGTCTGTCCCCGCTTATGGCTGAAGCAATAGCATGTAAGGAGGCCTTGTCTTGGTTATGGAATCGTGGAGAGCGCTCAGTACACATACTCACGGATTGTTTGACCCTGCAACAGTATTTGACAAATCAAGCTATCACTGTTCGGACTTACGTTGGCTATGCCATTGATGCTTGTAGAGCATGCATTATTTCTTTTGATTATTGTTCAGTTAATTTTATTCCTAGATCAGAGAACTATTTAGCACATAGTCTAGCGGCTACTGCATTTAATTCTTCTACGATTATGTATTCGGACGATGTCCCTCCAGACTCTATTTCTGAGTACCTTTAATATATGCCTTATTGGCCACCTTTCAAAAAAAAAATTCTATATAATTTAGTATGACAACAAGTACATCACTTAATCATATCTATTCTAACAAACAATTTTTTGTACTCTAGCGTGAGGTAACAAATAATTGGTGTAAAAATTTGGTGCAACCTTTGTCTAAGAAGGATTGTTATACCGTGGAATCGTATCCACTTTGTAAGATGGGCATGGTTTCAATGTGACGCTATTTGGTAATTTGGAGTAACGGTGTTGTTAGTGACACCGTTTTCTTCCACCAATCATTTTTTTTTTTTGGTCAAAACAACTCAACGAGACGTTGTGAATATAGAGTTCAAGAATTATGAATATAGAGTTCAAAAATTACGAACATAGAATTCTATAATTATGAACATAGAGTTTTGTAATTGTGATTATAATAAAGTTTAATAATTGTGAATATAGAGTTCAATAATTATGAACATAGAGTTCTATAATTATAAACATAGAGTTCAGTAATTATGAACATAAATTTCTAGAGTTCAAAATTATGAACATAGAGTTCTGTAATTGTGAATATATATAGAGTTCAATAATTGTGAATATGAAATCCAAAAATTATAAACATAGAGTTCTATAATTATGAACATAGATTTCACTAATTATGAACATAGACTTCTTGAAAACAAATGTCGTTAACGGCATAAGAAAGCAAATTTTTTTTTAATTGACACAACATCGTTTTCCACCAAAATGACGCCGTTTTGAAACCGTTTCCACCTTGCAAGGTGGACATGGTTCCACAACATAATTTACCTTCCAAGAAAGACACCAAATTCTACACCAAAATGGTGTAAATGAATAGTGCTACACCAAAATGGTGTATATGGTGTAATACTATTCATTTAGACCATTTTGGTGTATAACTTTTTAAAATCTTTTTTTCAATTGTTTCCTTTTAAACATTTATATTATTAAAAATAAATTATAAAAATTTAAAGATCTCATTGAGACGTTTAAAACAAGATCAATATTGACTATAAAATAATTAAAAATTAAAGTACATAAAAACATAAATTTTATTTTAAAATATTATTATTTATATCAAAATTATATTTTATATTAAAATAATTTAAGTAAACTAAATTAAATTTTTAAATTATAAGAATACAAATTATTTTAGTGTATGAATAGAAATTTGGTGTAGAAATGGCATTGAAATGACATTGTTTTCCTATATTCAGTGTTGCAAAAATCCTGCCTAGACGCTAGGCGCCGACTGGCCACCCAACGTATTACTATAATAGGTGGTCTAGGCATCTGGCCGACTAGACCGCTTAGGTGCTGACCGCCTAAGCCGACTAGGCCTCCTAGGCACCGACTAGCTAGATCGCCTAGTCGGGTGATTAACTATTGCTCTTTTTTTTTTAAGGGCTATTTCACTCAAAATGACATTGTTTTGATCGAAATAACCTTAAATTATTCAAACTGTAGATGTTTTTAGATTGATATTTAATATTTTAATATTAACTATTAAAATATTAAATAGTTAAATTATTACTCTTAAAAAATTAAAAAATTGTAAATATATTTTTAAAAAGTAAAAAACAAAATAAAATAAATACACGGGCACCTAGCTGCCGATTGCGCGTCCGAGAAGTGCGTAGTGATTTTTTCAACTCATGCCTATATTACACAAATGCAACTACGATTAGTCTTTATTCTTAACTTTATACAAATTAAGCTATTCTAAGCATATAATAAACTCAAAGGACGACTCCAATTTTAATATAAGATGCCTCCCAAATACCTCACAAAACTTATCATCTTTGGCACTTACCAATATTTCACCTCACTTTCAATTCAAAAATAGATTAATTCAATTTATTTCTTCATAGGTCTGAGAACATCTATAAGGTTCAAAATATAATACGAAGAAGTTGAGAACGTGAATTATAACAAAACATTAGCATTAGCGCCCGTTAAAGTTCAACGCAGTGTTAGTCGTTAGTCACACAGACAACCCCCCATGTCACGTACAGGCCACCAATCAAGACTAAATGTTATTGAATTGGTTGTCATAAAGACAATCACTTTTAGGTTAAAGTTACTATGTTGAATTTAGTCATTTTACCTTTATTTTATTTTATTTAGTCTTTTTATTTTAAAAAGTGATGAAATTAAGAATAATTGTTCAAATCTCATTAGGAACATGATTATAATTATTTATTTTGAATATACTAATTTATTATATTGGTGATAAAAATAATTAATTTTAAATATTTATAAAGTAATATATGAGTAGGAATATAAATATCGGCAGCGCCACGTAATCTAAGTTAACGGCAATATTAACACCGTTAACTATTGTCCTTAATTATATTGCACCACTTTTGAAAGTACAATGACTAAATTAAACAAAATAAAGGTATAAAGACTAAATTGAACAATAAATAAATAAATAAATAAAATGAACTGATTTGAATCAAGGATGAACTTACTCATTACATCACTGAATATAAATAAAATGAACTGATTTGAATCAAGGATGAATTTACTCATTAGATTACTGAATATATAATTGGCTCGAACCCGGCCACAACCTCTTATATGAGAGATTAAATTCGCGTACCACAAGGCAGAAAACTTATCTAACTTAATACTTATATGACTAAAAAATTTAATATTTCCAGATATGACACTAACCTAACTAGTTCAGACATTTTGCGCTTGGGCTCAGATTCTGGTTCTACCATATGTCTAGGATAGGAGAGTGATGTTTCAATAGTTGTTCAAAAAATTATTTGAAAAGATTTCATTTTTGGTCCATTGATTATTATATTGTACATACTTCAAATTTGGTCCTTAATTATTAATATTTTCAAATTAGTTGAATGACTATATAATTTGTATCACATTTGGTCCTTGACTATTAATATTTTCAAATTAGGTGCATCACTTTGTAATTTAATTTGTCTCACATTTGGTCCTACCGTCTAATTTTCTGAACAACTATTACCCGATTTAAACAAAAAATAATAATTTTTTTGACAATAGTTGGCCAAAATTACTCTTTTATTTAGAACATATTATTTTTTTTCATTTAATGATTCACTTTTAAAAAAAAAATGCGAATTGCATTGTCATTTACAAATTAGAAAATTTTGCTTCCTGCATGCAGTACAAAATCATGATCTATAAAAGGAGATCATGCTTAGAACCAGGAATCAATTAAACCGTTCAGAAAGTTTTAAGCTAAGATTTGGTACAAGCTAGAATGGGGATAATTGATATGCTTATTATTAGCTTACCATTCTTGTCATTGATCCTTCCTCCAAATGTCGTTATAATTCTGATAATCTCAGTGTTTCTCTCATGCAAATGGCTAAATAACCAAAAAGCTGCTAAGCAATTCCCACTCCCTCCAGGCCCCATGTCATGGCCTGTAGTGGGATGCTTCCCTCAAATGCTTACAAACAAGCCAGTTTTCCGGTGGATGCTCAATCTCATGGAGGAGATGAACACCGAAATCGCCTGCTTCCGCCTTGGGGGAACCAATGTGATTTCCGTAACATCCCCGGAGGTGGCGCGTGAGATACTCATGAAACAAGACTCGGTGTTTGCGTCAAGACCGGCCTGCTTGTCAGCACAGCTGATAAGCAGTAATTATTTGATCTCCCTGGTTACCCCTCTGGGCGACCAGTGGAAGAAAATGAGGAGAGTTCTTACCTCTCGTGTGCTCTCGCCCAACACGCTTAACTGGCTGGCTCACAAGCGGGCGGCAGAAGCCGACCACCTCGTACGTTACATCTACAATCAGTGTAGAAACGCCGCAGGTTGCGGAGTAGTGGATGTGAGGGCGGCGGGGAGACACTTCTGTGGGAATGTGATTAGGCAGATGGTGTTCAGCAAGAGGCATTTCGGCGCAGGGGTGGAAGACGGCGGGCCTGGCGTGGAGGAAGAAGAGCACGTTAATGCCACCTTTGGAGTTCTTGCTTATGTGTATTCTTTTGGTATCTCGGATTACTTTCCCTGGCTAAGGATGTTTGATTTGGATGGCCATAGGAAAGCCCTCAAGAAAGCTGTAAAAGGTGTTAGGAAGCACCAAGATCCTGAAGTCGATGCTAGGATTAAGATGTGGAATAATGGGACGGAAACTGAGCAACAAGATATTCTTGACGTTCTTATCAAGCTCAAGGATATTGATGGAAGACCATTATTGACATCTGAAGAGATTAAAGCACAAATTCTTGTAAGTATAATTATACATTCTTTCACGATCATTTGTTTATATTTGCATACCACTATAGCAGTCATGTCACTTTTGAATTGTAGGAGCATCCATGATCCACCCAATGCATTCTTTCTAATTTCCAATTGTGATTGCTTTTGGCTTTATATTTGTAGCTTTTTAGCTTTGGATATTCATGATATATATATTTTCATATGTATGTTTTGCAGGAACTAATGATAGGAATTGTGGACAATCCATCAAACACGACGGAATGGGTATTAGCAGAAATGCTAAACAAGCCTGATATACTCCAGAATGCCACGGAAGAACTAGACAACATTGTCGGAAGAGAAAGGCTAGTACAAGAATCTGATCTTCCAAAGCTAAACTACCTCAACGCATGTATAAGGGAAGCATTTCGCCTTCATCCATTTGCGGATTTTGCTCCTCCACACCTTTGTACTTCTGACACAACTGTTTCCAATTATTTCATACCCAAGGATAGTCATGTCATAATAAGCCGCCCCGGCCTGGGGCGGAACCCTAGGGTCTGGGAGGAGCCTCTCAAGTTCATGCCAGAGCGCCACTTGAAAAATGACGGGTCTGAAGTGAGCTTTGTTGACCCGGAGTTGAGGATTTTATCGTTTAGTACTGGAAGACGTGGATGTCCGGGCATTCAACTAGGTTCTTTGGTTAGTAGCATGTTGCTGGCTAGGCTTGTGCAAGGGTTTGATTGGGTGCAGTGTGGAAGAATTGAGCTAAGGGAGTCGAAACATGATCTCCTTCTGGCACACCCTCTCCATGCACTTGCAAAACCAAGGTTGCCTCACTACATCTACTCATCCCTGGAATAAATTATATATACCTACTATTTTGGGTAAAGAGGGAAACATGCAACAACTATTAATGGTGTGCACGCGATAAACCTCACTTTGTATTTCTAGTCAGCAAAAAACTAAATAAATCCGTCTAAGTGGTTGCCCATAAAATTATATGTACTATTGATAATTAATGATGATGGATGTGATGCATGTAAACTTGTAATTGGTTATACTCTTTCGTAGTATGAATATGTATGTCATGGTTCTTGAAAAATTTTATAATGGTCTAGTGGAAATATAAATATATATAATTCTACTTATTATGTTTTTAACAACACTCTTGCAAGTGAGGTTTTGTTTTTCTCATATGATTGAAGATGGTGATGATGACATTAAGCTAAAGTCTACTATCTTCAAAGGTGTATAATTTGTCTATAATTTACTATCATAAGCAAAATAAAATGGACCTCCAAAAGACCAAAAGTATAGCAAAATTTAAGAGAAAAGAAATGAACTTTATATTCTATGAAACAAAACAAATTTCAATGTATTATAACTTTTGATATTTCTATGGTGAGTATATATAAAAGTACTTACAATGATAGAGAGGTATTCGTAACATTTAAAATTTTAATTTATCAAATTTTGATAATAAAAAATTTGATGCATATATTTGTAAAGGCCGGCTTTGAATTTGAAATTTGAAAATAATATATATGTTCATTCATAATAGTTGCATTGCCATTTCATCATTATCCCTGACTTTGAACAAAACTCAACCAATAATGAACATCAAGGTTTTTTGTGATATTTCTTTTATAATTATTGTTAAGGTAAAAATCTATATAATTTATGTTACACTTTTAATAATTTTTAGTTAGGTTGTTAGTGTAATTTGTTATTATTATTGTTGTTGTTGTTGAGCAACTCTGATTGAATATGGGAGATTAGTGGCCTTAATTAATTACCATTAAGGAGAGGTGATTTTCATTTTTTTAAATACATAGGTTTCTAGCTTATGTCAGACCAATCATAACCTTTCTAATGGATAATTCTATTTGCACCACCCAATTTGCTATCACGGCTGAAAATTATGGTATTTCCTACCAGGGCCGGATTCTGGGCTGTGCAAGCAGCCCAACAGCACAGGGCCCCAAATTTTAGAGGGCCCAATATTTAATTTTTACTTAGCTAGTTAAGATATTAAAAGAGATAACAATTTCACTTAATTTTAAAAGATTACATGGAGGAATGGTAAAAACATGTGACTATCATGTTTCCTTTGGGAGGTCAAAGGTTCAATTCTAGCTTGTGACATCTTTCATTTTTTCATAAAATCCTTTTATTATTATTAAAAAAAAAATTAGACTTTTGATAGGGTCTCGTTTATTTTAAGAACGGGGCCACACAAAACTAAAAACCGGCCTTGTTTCCGACCACCTGAAAATGATCTTAAATCAAGTCGAAAGCCTTGTTCCGACCACTTTTGGTATCCGGAAAAACCTTTATAGCTATTTCCGACCACTTTTTGCTTTCGATTTGATTTAAGATCACTTTCAGGTGGTCGGAAATTTCATAATTTCCAGTAGTGTTACACCACTTTTTTAATAGGTATAATAGCTTGGGTAATTCTATTTGCACCCATTAAAAGGTATTTTCGTCTTTTTCAGCTTAAGATCTCAATTTGAGTTTGAATAAAGGGATTTGAGTCCTAAGATCGATCTGAATTCGCAATTTAATTGAGATCGATCTTAGAGTTTAAATTCATTTATTTATGCTCAAATTAATTAGGAGCTTAATTTGAAAATGACGAAAATACTCTTAATACATAAGAGTGAGAACTAAACATGTTTATTTACCATCAAATCATGAGAATAAATAGAGTACAAGTCACGGAAGAAGGAAACTAGTTATACAAAACCAAATGATTAGGCAAACTCTAACTAACACAAACTAAGTCTCATCAGAAAATACTTTTAGAAAATAAATTTTGAGGGTTCCAAATTATTAACTTAAAAAATTAATTGTGTAGTACCTCATCAAAATCTTTCCACTCTTATTCCTAACCACTTCTAGTGTCGTCCAAGAAGTCAAAATAAATATTGAACATGTTTATTAATTGCTAACACGTTTGCATGTGAGAGGAGGAATGCTAATTCTCTTAGCTTTCATCAGATTCAATTCCAAACATATAACATCAAAATCATATTATCACAAAAGTCCTAATACTATCACTATGTGACACGACGCGATACGTACACTTTGATGTTCATTACTTTAATTTATATGCATGCATGGACTATTATATTGGCATTGTACACGTTTTCAAGTGAGGTGATGAGTGTTACCTTTCAAAAAAAAAAAAAAAAAAAAAAAAAAAAAAGTGAGTTGAGTGCACCTTGATTCACATAGTTTAATTTGTAGGGATTTGGGGCATTGAACGACGACCTTGGACTTCATGGACGTTTTCACGTACAGCTTCCCTTGTCCACAAGAAGTTTGTCACTTTCTCTCGTGCATTAAAATATGAGATGTTGATTTGTCTTGGAAAAAATAGTTAATATTGGTATTTAAAGTTGTCATTTTGTTGTATAATTTTCAATGAAGTCTACTTTCGGTTTGAATTGGATTAAAGTGAATTTGGATTCTCTTAAGTGTGATTTTTCATTCTATATATTATATGCATAAAATGGATAATAGATAAATAATAAATTGATTTTCAAAATATACTCATTTGAGTTGAGAAAAATTGAGTAGGGGAGATTTTTTAATAACTTTTGTCCGATATTGAATTGGAAAATAAATGTAGGTTTGCAGTACTAGTATATATATACAATTCCACTTTTTGAGAGAGGCGGGGGAGGGGGCGTTGGAAATTAAATCTTAAATGAGCCCAAAGGCTTAGTCTCGTTTGTGCTAAACCTGGCAATTTTTATCTGATTTTTTTTTTTTTTTAAAGTTTTGAATTGGCAACAATGGTGGAAAACTGGAAATGCTGTTTTAACTTTCAACTTTGACAAGAATCTTGACCAAGAAGGTTCCTGATGTAAAGGAATAAGAGATAGATATACGAACTGTTAGTGTGATTGAATCATGGAAACATTTTGATTTCCTATGCGGAAATTATGTACTAAGCGGGTTGCATGATTTTTTTTTTTTTTTTTTTTGAGTTTGTGGTTCCACCGGACTAAGCTTGGTTCCACCTTGTTGCACCTATACTAGATCCTGGTTCCCTGGTTCCTGGTTCCACTTTGTTCCGCCTAGGCTCTGGTTCCCCTATTCCTGGCTCCACGTTGTTCCACCTAGACCCTGGTTTCCCAGTTCCAGACCCCACTTGGTTCCTACCTGGTTGCATGATTCATTATACAATATAAACAAGTTGAAAATGACTAAAGAGTTATTGACTCTTTAGGCCACAAGTATAGGAGCAAAGACGCTGGGGCAAAGAAATTTACCGTTGGCCGAATCCTTGACTACAATTCAGAATAATGGATTCTGAAACTGTTCTAAGCCATGCTGAAGAGATTCAGATGATCTTCAACGAGATTCCTAACGAGGGAATGGCCAAGAGTTAGGCTTTCTAAGTGGCTTCAATTATTCATTTGTTGCCACCAGATTCAAAATACTTTAATAACTACTTGAAGCACAAGCGGAAGAAGATGAATCTAGATGATCACTCGCTGTAAAACAAATAATGATAAGTATTACAAGTAAAATGTCGTTCCGTTGGCGATTGGGAGTTAGGCACGTACTTGCACGACTATCATCTCACTAGACACCAAGACTTAGGTTCATTGAGAATCCAAGCAATCAACTCAGAATAAATCATAGTGATAACAAGTATAAAATAACTAAATAAATTAAAGGGTTAACAATAAGGAATGTAAATAGGGGAATGGATCAAGGATAATCACCTCCTAAGTGCACAAACAATCCATTAAGACCGGGGAGAAACACATATTTCAAGAGGTCACCACAATATGGGGTTAGAGTTTTCTAGATCTTTTGATCTTAGAACTAAAACTGCTAAGAATTGTCTCAATCTCAGCTCGTGACGCTACCAATTCCAAACTCTTAAGCTCATATGCATTTTTGGGTCCCGAAATGTTGAAAAGAAAAGTACGATATACATAAAATATAATTACTATCAAACACACTAAAAGCATTTGAAATCCTTTCAAGAACATCATGTCATCAAGAGGCTCAAGGGTTTCAAAGACTAATCAAAATCTTCAAAGAGTCTAAGTAGTTGGAGGAAATTAAAATCAACATTGGGTTGATAGTTTGTTGTAAAACTCTAGTAACAAATTATTAGCTTGTAGTTTTGTGGAATCCTAACAAACGTTGTGCTAACTTTGTGATCAAAGTACAAGTACAAGTACAAGTTTGTTGCTCACTTGTAATCTATATAAAAAAAAAAAAAAGTACAAATTAAAGTTATTGCTAAATTCTTTCTTGAATTATAAGAGAAGAATGGATTAGAGGAATTACCCAATCCTCGAACCACACTAAAAACTTTCATCTCATTTACATTTATGCACTTTATTACTACCATAACTATTTTCTTAATTTCTCAAATTACTTTTGAAACATCATATCCTTGTGTGTTATACTCACTTTCCATTGTGCATTAACTTTGATCAAAATCTTTCTTGACTAATTAATTAAGATCTCAACATGTATAACCTTTCCTGGAAACGCACTGTTGAGAGATTAATTTGTGAATTCAATCTCCAAAGCTCGATTATATTTTACAAAAAGTTTTATTATAATATTTTTTTTTCTTTTCCTGGTATCTTCTTAGCTACTATACTGTATTAAATTCTCCATGCTATCTTTTTTAATCTTTGTTCTTTTGGTAGTTTCTATCACCTGTGGAAACTCTTAGGTACTTTCAAAGCCCATTTTTTCAACCCGAACAAAAAATCATTTAAAATTTAATTAAAAAATACGTGTGGTTGTTAATTAGTAACGTACAGCAACCCGTCAAATTTAAAAAACTAATAACAACAACATACTAAAATTAGTGCAACACTAAATTACATCCACTTGATCTTGAAGCACATGAGAACAGAAAACATCCCATGATCAAATATAATTGAATAATTGATTGATCAAAACAGGTGTCATAATAAAACCTAAAAGTTGTTAAATCCA